GCGTACAGCTAAAAGACCGACTGTTTTGAGCAGCTTGCTAAATATGCTAACGATCCTCATCATTTTTAGGAAAATTTATTTTTTGAGCAATTTTCGCATTTTTTGTAGGGTTTTTCGATTTTGTATAATGGTTGTTTTTTTTCTTCTCATGGGTTTAGTGAAAAATACTCTCTTTCTGTGCGGGTTTTTTAAAGGTTTTTTTTTTATCCGACAGATGATTTTTTAATCTTAGACAAATCATTTCAAATTAGCCAATATTTGATTTATGATTTTTAAACCTACCTAGGGTTTTACTCCTCGTTGGCCATAAAAATGAACTGCATTTTTAGCTCGTAATTGGTATTTATTGAATGCCCTTACCATTACCAAAAAGAAAGTTTCGGTATATTTTAGTACATTTCGTACGTTTCAAAAGCAGACGCAACGTGCGTACTCGCCTACTGCCTTCAAACCATGGTAGCCAACGGTGTACAGGATCAGGACCAGAACCAGGAGCCGTGTGTGCTGAGCCCCACGTCGGCGGTGACGGGACTGCCGCAGAAGCGCTTCTACCGCCAGCGGGCGCACTCGAATCCCATCGCGGACCACAGCTTCGACTAGTGAGTAACTGATGAAATAGCCCCCACCCCAGGTGGAAGTCCATTAATGCATCTATCTCGCAGTCCTGCCCGCCCGGAGGATGTGGATTGGCGCTCGCTGTACCCGAGCATCCAGCCGGGCCAACAGGTCAGCTATGCGGACATTGGCTGCGGCTACGGCGGCTTCTTGATAACCCTGGGGGAGATGTTCCCCGAGAAACTCTCCATCGGCATGGAAATCCGCGTCAAGGTGTCGGACTACGTGGTGGACCGGATAACGGCGCTGCGGCGCAAGAGCATGACTGCTGGAGCGAGTGCGTACCAGAACGTCGCCTGCCTGCGCACCAACGCTATGAAGTATCTACCCAACTACTTCGCCAAGGGCCAGCTGGAGAAGATGTTCTTCCTCTACCCTGATCCGCACTTCAAGCGCGCCAAGCACAAGTGGCGCATCATCAACCAGGCCCTGCTCTCCGAGTACGCCTATGTTCTAAGGAAAGGGGTGAGTCCGAGTTCATTCGCTCACTGAAAGAGTTCCAACTACAGCATAAGCACTCTTTACCCAGGGTCTGGTGTACACTATGACGGATGTGGAGGACCTGCACAAGTGGATTGTGGCGCACATGGAGGAGCACCCGCTGTACGAGCGTCTCTCCGAAGAGGAGGCGGTACGTTAGGGGGAAATACAATTTTGCAGCTTGTCAAACACTAATCTCCCTGTTCCAACCCACAGAAATCCGATCCCATCACCCCGAAGCTGTACCAGAGCAGCGAGGAGGGTGCCAAGGTGGTGCGCAACAAGGGCGATCATTTCCTGGCCATTTTCCGGCGCCTCTAGGACGACGTATATTCTCCATATATGTAGACATTAATTTAAGATTACCGTAGAGTAAAGATCGATTGTTAAAGCATCTCGTTGCGTTGTCCCAGACCCTCGCAGGTGACTATCGTATGCCCGCCGGACTCCACAGCCACGTCGAACTTGACGCCCGTCAGTTGCTCGGCCACATGGATGGCGGTGCGTGTGTGCTTGGTCAGCGGTCCAGTGCGCATCCTGGAGAGGCCGACGGCCAGGGCCATGTAGATGATAAGTTGGTCCTGCATGTGTTCATCCACGCAGATCTCCTTGCGCAAGTACTGGGCTAGCTGGCCGGAGGTCTCAGAGCCAAGCACATTTCCGTCGACCCTCTTCTCGCCCAACGATGCGGCGCCCAGGACGCAGCCGCCGGACGTGATGGCGGTCATAAGGATGCCGGCTCCGTTGTCGTGGGCCTTCTCCGGTGAATGCTTTACCGCCTGGATGCTGCACTTCTCGTTCGGCCAGTGGCGATGGATCTCGCGCTGCGCCGTCCGCTGCATGTCTATCGCGATGCTCATGGGCAGACGCCCAGCCGTGAAAGCCACTCCGCTGACCGACTGGAGGTGGCCAAAGTCCAGGAACTGTCCGGCGTCCAGTTTGGCAACCGGCTGCACGTCCAACTGGCAGCTTCCCTTGCCGCGCGGATAGAAACCGTACTGCTGCACCTTCAGGTCGAAGCTGGCGCCAAAGGGCTTCAGGTTGGGCAGCAGCACCTGCTGCATGTACTCCACCTGGGGGGCGAAGGCGACGTTCGTGCCCCCAGACACGAAGAGGCGGGATGGACGTCCGGCGAAGAGCAGGACAGGCAGGGCCATTTGGTAGATCAGGGTGATGCTGGCCGCCGTGTGCGTCTCGACGCGGTACGTGTTCCCCAGGATGGCGCGTGGCGAGAACTCCAGTTCGGTGGAGAGCAGGCTGTTGCCCACCACATCCGCATTGCAGATGTCCCGCAGCAAGTTCACCCCGTGCAGGTGCTGGTGCGAGAGTCCCGGCTTGGGACGATTGGCCCGGATCTTGACCACACGCACCGGTTTGCCCAAAATGCAGCTGAGGCTCAGAGCGTTGCGCAGCGCCTGTCCGCCGCCCTCCAAAAAGGAGCCGTCTATCTCCACAAAGCCCTTCGCGTCCATTTTCAGCCGAGTTCTTAAAGGTCTGAGGTTTTTCTTTAAGAATTTCCGTCAGCTGTCAGAATCAGAAACAAAAGCTCCATCATATTGAATTTCGACCGGCGTTTTTCATTGGTCGCAGTGTGCCCGTTGCTGGTTTCCCTTGAAATACTAGGCTCCTGCGGTCCTACTAAAAGCGCGCGAATTTCGAACTGGTCCGGCAGCACTGGCCAGATGTAAGCAAGGGCTTCTACGACAAATCATTTTACATTTCACTAAAATAAAGCACTATTATTAAAAATGCTTGTGTAAGTAGTAGATTAGTAAGTAGTACTGCCTTCATTCGTACATATACATTTATTTTTCATACGTACGTATATATATGCAAATAGTGCAAGTACGTGCCGCGTTTAGTGGCTTTGTTTATCTGCGACGTGCCATCGTGAGGGCAATTATCTAGTCCAATCAGTGGTTTAACCGACATTAGCGAGGATTCCCCGCATCGAAGGCGAATCACTTGGCAATTGAGCAATCGCAATCGTAGGCGTCGAAGTTTGGGTCTCTTCCACTGGAATGTTCTCCCTCCTTCCTGCACAGTGGGATAAAAATCATTGTGAGTTAGCTCGAAAATGTATACAATATATTCCGCTATAGCAATAAGTTAATAAACGAAATATTTATTTTTTGTCTACTTTTTAATATGATTTTTAGAAAAATGTAAAAAAAATTTTTGTTATTATTCTGGATGTTTGACTGTAGTTTGTTTACTTGGCATGGGTTTTAAATTAACCGCCGTCATTTCGACAAAATCCCCATTAAGTTCATCAAGATCCATTTGTAATTCTCAGAGTCTGATAAAAATAAGTCGAGCCCCTTCACTGGCGAATGTGAACACCTCAGACGGACATTGACGAAATGGGCTTAAGACCATGGTGGAGATACTACCTGGCATGGTTTGTAAAAAGGGGTTTGAGTTCAAAATATTAAGATAGTTTTTTGCTAACCGAAGATTCATTTAAATTTGAAATGGTCAAGGTTAAGCTCTATTTTCATTTTCAAACTACAGACATAAACAACAAATATTGTTTGTAATAATCAAGTATCAAAAGTATACAAAGATACACTGTGTACCTTGTAGATAACAAGACATCAACCATTTCTTCGGTACAGTGCTACAATTTTGCCCGTATCTGTAAGCCAAACATTTATCAACAGGTCTTTATAAGGTGCTAACAGGCCTTTTCTAATTAATTATGAAAGAGGTGACTGAAAATTAGTAAAAGGTGTTACTCAGCGCTGTTATTCCACTCCAAGAGTTATGAAACCACAAGCAAAACGCTAGTTTCTTCTTGTTCTAGTTCCGCCCTCGGTGATGCAATTTGGTCGGCATTGACTGTGCCACAGTAGGCTCTAACAACAGGTGGATTGGGCGCCGAGTGCATTGGTCTGTATCGTGACGAAGGCCATGTTAGGTGTTACTCTCTTTATGACTTCTTGTTGCTGGCCATTCCAAGTTATTGCCGGTAAGGGGTGGGCTAAGTGGTGCTGGGGAAGGAGACGGGGCGGACTGGGAGGCGTGGCTGGTTGTAAAGAAGGTGGAAGAGATTGCTTGGGAGTGAAGAGCGACGGCGGCAAGGTCGCGACGTTTTTTGTTGGCTTAACACACAGACGTTTGTCTTGGGGAGTGGAGCACTCAAGCTAATGTGGTCGGAAAGTCTGAGCAGACAACAGCGGTCAAAACTCTAATTTCTAGGGGTTTTAAGATCATTTTATACGCCAAAGTTTTAAACTTGAATTCAGCAAGGTTTGGTCTGAAGAAAAATACAGGACCTCTTGAGGAATTTTTTTTTAAATCTTCAGGTTTTCAGTTTGTTTTTCACAAATGTTAATATTCAGTCGGTTTATATGTATTGTTCTTAGAGGAAATTATTTAACTAAGAATAGTATGCCTACACCGGTTCAGATAATAATAATATTGACTAAAAGTTTTCCAAAAATTAAATTGAACTGAAAAATGTTTCGAAAGCAAAAAAATCAATGTCTGCCTACAGGGGTTTGACTGTTTGCCGATTCCAACTAATCCTAATCTTTGAGAAGAATCAAAGGTTTACGTCTACATTTCATTTAAACTGATTATTTAACCGAAGATTGACGGCTTAGATTTGATTTGAATAGGTATGCAAAAAAATAGAAATAAATAGTGCAAGTTTTTTGTTGGGACGGCACAGTGGGATACTACTATCTTGACCGCCCCTGTACGCACACACACGACGCAGATGTGCGTGTGTGCTGGGGAGGCACGGAGCTTCCAGTTCCAGTCGAGTCTACTGCTGGAGTTGAGCGCCATACGCGGTTCGCAGTTCACGCGCGCCAGACGTGCCTCGCTCCTGCTCCCTCTCTGGCTCTCGCTCTCTCCCCGCGCAGCGTTCCTGGACCATTCCAGTTGCAAATCCGCATCCACTCCGTTTCCATTAATCTCGTCTCCACGGCACAGACCTGTTGCACGCTCTCACGTTCTCTCCTTCCACGCGATTCCAGTTGTTTTGTTTTTGTTATAGTTCTTGTGAGAGTGGTGAGTGACGACGAATTACTCGCAGATAAACAATGATGTGCGTCTGCTGCACAAAACAGCATCTCGAAAACGTTTAGGAACCCGGGAAAATCCATCTGCGGTTGATGATTCACCTAGCAGAGGAATATATTTAAAGAAGTGATTAACGCTCGTGAAAACAACAAACTGATAACGAGTTTTAGTACATTGATTGATTGCAATTAAGTGGAAAAACAAAGCTCTCAAACTGCAAACTCAACTTTCAGGTGGCAACCCTATCGAGCAGCTCTAAACTTGGCCAAAACGCACGTAGGCGTCAAAAACCTTCTAGGAATATTTGAGCTTGAATCCAGGTAAAAGCTTGCTCGTCTTGCATTTTTCGGCTCCGAAAATTTTCATAAAAACATTCTGAAACACATTTCAAAACAGAAACTCCTTGAGAATACTCAACGCACAGCCGTTTTCGAATCCTTTGCACAACAGCCGCCTACACACAATGGGTTCCATCAATTGCAAGGAGTACAAGACCACGGGCAGCACCCCCAAAAAAGAAAAATCTACAGGTAACTATACGATTTCCAGAGGGCTTACTTTCAAATCATTAATTTGTAGTTACAGAAACCTTCGCATGATGATTGTAATTTTTTTCATGTGAAGGTCAAACTTTTATAATACGCATTACGCAGGGCTCTTGTTATTAAAGGGATTTTGATTTTTTTTTTTTAAATATTTCCATAGTTAGAAATCTAAAGTTCTTTCTTATAAAAGTTTAGCCTCTACCAATCTCAATCCCATGACTATTCGACTATAATTTAAAAAGTGTATGGTCATGTCGTAGATGATCTGATAGCCAACATTGCTGTGTTCCTTTTACCAATCGAACGAGGCCAAATGGATAGGAATTGTGATTAGGAGAATGGGAATGACCCGCTTTTGGGGGGTGTTACCGTGAAGGGGGCTCAGATAATTGTCTCAGCGGCATAAGTCCAAGATTGAGAAAGAGATATGGTCAGCGGGAGCGCGCAACTTGTTGGCTTTGCCGCTGCGTCATTGCCACAGTAGTTACTAGGTAATACTCATGGTATGGTTAGGATCAATTTACATATTGTGGTATGGTAATAGTATTATTATATTGCTAGTCTAAAATACCCTATTTTCTATTTATTTATCACATTTCGATTTATGTGATCAAGGGGAAACTTCAGCTAAAACACTATTTTTAATACCTAAACTCATTTACAGATTTGGAATGATAAGATTGGGATAAATTAACATATTGTGGTATAGCGAAAGTATTATTATTTTGCTCTCTTGGTAAAACATATGATCTAGGATATTCTTAAGAGAATGGTATAGAGATAAAGCTGAACATGAAATGCCCTCTTCTCTTCTTTAAATTAGGTACCAACCACAATTCGATCTATGTGATCAAGGGAGAACTACAGTTTATAGACTCTACTTAATACCTAATCTCATCTATAGATTTGGAAAGATATTGGCCCATCGGTTTATGTTCTCCATGATTCCCCACTAATCGATATCCACTGTACGCGCAGATGTTGTTAGTCACCGCTATCGGAATTTCGCTGTGCCTTGTGCTCTGCCTATTGCCATTGCCTCTGTTTTACGTTCTCTTGGTCTCTTTTGGTGGAGACCCCCGTTCGCTTAAATTGGCGGTCTCCGATTCATTCGTCCGTCAACTGCCGGTGCCAACGCGTTAAAAAGCTCTTAGAAAAGTCGAAATCGACACACATTCTCTTAGCTTCGGCCTACCCAATCTTTCGCAGTGATATCTGATTTTGTGAGTTGTATTATTTTGGTGAAACTTGTTCTCATGCAATTGTTATTATTATTATTTGGTCTGGCTTTTGACTCACTTGAGTTGGACAAGGCCAACCGGTTTGTTCTCATGTTCGGCCGAGTGTGTGTGAGAAACCCCAACCAGCTGCGGTATTAACATGGCGAATCATTGCTAATTACACACAAGAGTTGAAAGAGGGTTAGAAATGTACAGTGCAGGGCCTAAGTTTAGTTATCAAAAGCCATATTATTATGTGTAACATACACAAATTAATAATTCAGAAATATCCTCAAAAGGTCCTAAGATTTAACATCACAATATATCCTAGAAAAACCCTACAAGTATTTGTATTTCAGCTTTTTTTTAGAAAAATAAAGTAGTTACCAACCTTCTACTTTCGAAAGCAATGTATTTTTTCCTCCCACTGTATGTGAATTTCAGATGACTTGCTTTTCTTATTGTTGTCTGGCCGAAAATGTTTGATTCCCGATTAGTTTCCGTTTCTTCCGTAAAAGGCACCATCATCGAAGCTCTGTCATGGGCCATATCAGCGATATGATATACCGGCGATACCAAATTATGCATACATCATAAAGTCAGTCATTTGAGATAGGGGCGTGTGGACATTATAACCATATCAGAACCGACTAGAACAGAGTGGAACACACGTTTACAGGTGTTACGCTTAAGGTTTATAGATGTTTTCCTCACCGTCTGGCTTTTCTTGATGACGTAGCAAGGTTGGGTTTCGTGTTCTGCTGAGTTGTATTGACATTGAAGTAGGTCGGATGAATCAATCGATCGGGGCCTGTCGCTAAGATCCGCTTTGTTGTGGTCAGGTAACCATCGGTGGTAATTATGCAGTTCTTTCCCATCCATCAATATTTGTCAAAATAATTGCCCTGCAAATACAATTTTCAGAATTACATATTTAATTCTGAAGGGAATTAGGTTTTTGTTAAACATTTTAATGATACCTAAAGGATATAGAATTTGAATATTCGATATTATTTTTAGTTTAGTTAAATTTATTTCGGAAATAAAAGTATCCAGTCTGTCGTATGTACTCGACTTAGTTTGTACATTATATTTATGGGGGCAGCTTTACTAAAGTGATAACACTTTACTGCAGCCTCTTATCTCTGGCAATATAAGTCAATTAATATTGATCCCTTGTGCAATCAGATAGTTGTATAATATTGTGTTTGAATATTTTTTTTCCAAGGATTCGGTGTTTTCTTATATCTCTATTTAAAACCTTAGCGATTTTATTTTTTTTTCGAGCCCTTCTTGACCGCCAGGCGCTCCAAACGCGTGATGGCATCGTCCAAGAACCTTCGCTGCTCCTTCAGCTGTGAGAGGAGCTCCTCGGCGCTGAGTGGGCGGGCAGGCTTAGCCGTTTGCAATCCTGTTCCAGCTGATTTATCCGATTCAGCCCATCGGCTCCGTAGTCCAGCTACTCCCACAGATGGTCTAAGCATGTCCAGCACCCTTTTGATGATGGAGGGACTGGATCCCGGCTGCTGCTCCTGCTGGTGATCCTTCTGATGAAGGTTGTAGTTGTGGTTATGTTGCTGGTCACTGGCCACACTTCCCTGTGCAAACTCCGGCATGGTCAGCAGGGGTCCCCATAGGAAGGAGCCCAATCCGGAGGCAGGTGCCGGTGCTATTTCCGACGAGTGTCCTTCCAGTTGTTTTCCTTGGGAGGCAAACCGTCCATCTAGCAACTCAAGTTGGCGCTTCAAATCATCCAGTTTGTGCTGGAGGTGCTCAAAGTCAGCGGTCAGATTGATGGCCAGCCTTTGGGTGGTCTCACCCTTGGCGATTCCCTCCAGCTTTTCTATCTGAAGACCTATTTGATGGTCCCTTTGCTGAAGATCGTCCAGCAGAAGCTCGGTTTCCGCTCGAGGAGGTTGCTCCAAAAAAAGACGGGCGATCTCCGCCTGCAATAGCTGTTTGTGGGTGCGCAGCGAACTCAGCTCCAGTTCCTGCAGACTGCTGAGATGCGAACGGGCCAGGACCGAACCCAGGACCATGATCAATCCCAGAAAAACTTCTGAACACGAGCGAGGCATTTTCTTTACTGATCACAGATCTTGGTTTCTACCTGAGCAGCAAGCGGCGACAGACTTTCCCTTGAACCCTAAAGAAAAACTGGAAAATTTTTATGTGCCCACACATTTACACATTCCTGTTATCTATATCGTTATCACCGTTTCTCTTTCTTACTCTATTTTCATGATGGCCTCGCCAGGTGGTGCCGTGGGTTCCTACCAGTCCAAGTGCAGCAACCAGAGTCCCAGTACAACCATGTCGACGGATGCCTCCTCGCCGGACTCGGAGTATACCAGTGCGGTACCCGTGAACTGCAATGTCGCGGAACTAAAGGAGAACGAGATGAAGCAGGTGGACTTCGATGAGGACACTCGCGTGCTGGTGGTAAAGCAGAACGATCGCCTGCTGGCGGTGGGAGCCAAATGCACCCACTATGGAGCTCCGCTTCAGACTGGAGCCCTGGGATTGGGTCGCATCCGCTGTCCCTGGCACGGCGCCTGCTTCAATCTGGAGAATGGCGACATTGAGGATTTCCCCGGACTCGATTCCCTTCCCTGCTATCGCGTGGAGGTGAGCAACAAGGGACAGGTGCTCCTCCGAGCCAAGCGATCGGATCTGGCCAACAACAAGCGACTCAAGAACATGGTCCGACGCAAGCCGGACGATCAGCGAGTGTTCATCGTGGTCGGCGGTGGTCCTTCGGGCGCTGTGGCAGTGGAGACCATACGACAGGAGGGCTTCACCGGCCGCCTAATCTTCGTGTGCCGCGAGGACTACCTGCCCTACGATCGCGTCAAGATCTCCAAGGCCATGAACCTGGAGATCGAGCAGCTGCGGTTCCGCGACGAGGACTTCTACAAAGAGTATGACATCGAAGTGTGGTCGGGAGTGGCCGCCGAGAAACTAGATTCGGCCCAGAAGGAGCTGCACTGCAGCAATGGCTATGTGGTGAAGTACGACAAGATCTACCTGGCCACAGGCTGCTCCGCCTTCCGGCCGCCCATCCCTGGAGTCAATTTGCAGAACGTGCGCACAGTCCGCGAGTTGGCCGACACCAAGGCCATATTGGCATCGATAACCCTCGAGTCCCGCGTCGTCTGCCTGGGATCCAGCTTCATCGCTTTGGAGGCTGCTGCTGGGCTCGTCTCCAAAGTTCAAAGCGTCACGGTGGTGGGCCGCGAGAATGTCCCACTGAAGGCCGCCTTCGGCGCGGAGATTGGTCAGCGGGTGCTCCAGCTGTTTCAGGACAACAAGGTGGTCATGCGCATGGAAAGTGGCATCACCGAGATCGTTGGCGACGAGGAGGGCAAGGTGACTGAGGTGGTGCTGGTCGACGGCACTCGTCTTCCCTGCGACCTGCTTATTCTGGGCACTGGCTCCAAGCTTAATACTCAATTCCTGGCCAAGTCGGGCGTGAAGGTCAATCGCAACGGGTCCGTAGACGTCACCGATTTCCTGGAGTCTAATGTGCCCGATGTATATGTGGGCGGCGACATAGCCAACGCCCACATCCACGGACTGGCCCACGATCGCGTAAACATCGGGCATTACCAGCTGGCCCAATACCACGGACGGGTGGCGGCCATCAACATGTGCGGCGGGGTCAAGAAGCTGGAGGCCGTGCCCTTCTTCTTCACCCTGATCTTCGGCAAGGGCATCCGGTATGCCGGGCACGGATCCTACAAGGATGTCATCATCGACGGCAGCATGGAGGACTTCAAGTTCGTCGCCTACTTCATCAACGAGGCGGATACGGTGACGGCGGTGGCTTCCTGCGGTCGTGATCCGATCGTGGCCCAGTTTGCCGAGCTCATCTCGCAGGGCAAATGCCTCGGACGTGGCCAAATCGCTGACCCAGCCACCCGCGAGGACTGGACTAAGAAGCTCGGCGAACCGGTGCCCCAAGTTCGTTAAATAATCAACTATATGTGTGTATTACCCCTGAGATTTGTTGTTATATGTATATATTAATGAAATCGTTGAGTATTCATTATATACTCCTACTATGCAAAACACTTAAGAAGTGTCATTTTATCTGTGTATATTTATAATTGTAGTCCGAGGAACTTCCTTGAGTTCCTGCCGCAGTTGCCACTTTTGGCCCCCCAGAGATCAAAGTTGTAAGCTTTTTATTCCCTTGCCACACAATGTATTTTTTTGAGTCATATTGGTTTATTTTTGCTAAATAAAGTGTTTTAACGATGTCGTAATTCCAGTTAAAATGTTGGATTTTCAATTGGGAAATGCCTCATATTTATGCCTCTCTTTTGCAATGATTTGGTTTCTTGGAACTTCCTTATGAGCATACATATTTACAATTGCATTGTAGATACACATTTAAAGGGAACGGAACAGCTTTGCTCCACCTGTTTATTTACAAACTGCTTTTTTCATCCTTCATTCATATTAACTCCCCCACAACCCCACAGCCCCAACTTGCTCCTGTTTTTTATACCCAACTTAACTGATCCATTCGCGTTGTCAATCGAAATTCCAAAGTAAGCACCCAACATATCTGACCGATGGCCTCGCCAGGTCGGAATCCCCAGCGATCCCTGCAATCATGGCGTCTGCTCAGCGAGGGCTTCAAATTGTTCGCCACTCGGCTGGCCAGGAATCAGCAGCCTATGGTATGGTTTGGATGGTTAGTCACTGGGTGGATAGTAATTAACTTACCCCTTGTGTGCGCACAGCTCCCACCGAGGGATGGGCAAGGACTCAGCTTGGAGGAGCAAAGGGACTTCACCGAGTCGCTAGGCGATTGCATCGCTGACATGGCCTCGCCGAACAGTTTAGAGGTCTTCCATCAAATGACCGTCTCGACCGGGATGTCCCAGAGACTGGCGGCCGCCCAGGAGCGCACCCAAGTGCTGGAGGAGCGCAACCGCAAGCTGAGAGATCTGGTTGGTATTAGTTCAGCTGCTTCTGGTATTAATAGCAATAGCACCTCCAGGCAATGGACAAATCGGACCTCTTCGAGTCGCGGGGCGTCATGCTGTGCTCCAGGGTCTTTGACCTTAGTCAGGAGCTGATCGTGACCAGGATGCGGATCAACGACTTCGAGAACGCCTGTACGCAGCTGCGAAGGTAATGATTCCGTACGGATTGAAGCCGTCTCGACAACTTATAGTGGGCCTCCCGGCTCTAATTCCGTAGGCGCATCCTAGAGCTGAAGCTGCGACGCGTCCAACGCCGACGGCATCTCTGCTACGAGATGCAGATACTGCGACTGGCGCAGGAGCACCCGGTGCCCCCCATCCTGGGGCGCCTCTGGCAGTGCCTTCGCTCCTTGTGGAACTGTGTGGAGTGCCTGGCGCAGGTGTCGGTGTCCCAAGTAGCCCGTCCTCCCCGAAATGCGGAGAGTACTATGGATGCCCTCAATATGTTCGTGGCGGGCTTTTAGCATGTCCCGTTTTGTCCTTCTAGAGATTTACTATTCGTAGCCGTGGTTATCGATAGCTATTAATTATCGAGTAAATCAAGTTTTGTTATATTTTAACGGATACCCTTTCAGATTATATTTCAGTAGAATTGAATAGAATATTTTTCAGTTATTGAGGCTGGATTTATGTTCCATGCTATTATTTGTAAAACTTTTTTGATCAAATTGAATCACCAAATATGAAAGCTTAAAACTGACATTGGGGACGATTTTCAAATCAGAAAAGTTTTTCTGGGGATTCCCTGAACTGCTGAATTGTTTTAAGTTCAATAAAACATTTCAGCAATTGAGTGCCCACAATTTGAATTTAGTCGAAATGTGGATTTTTTAGGGGAAAACATGACAATATGGTTACACCGATAGGCAGACAAACAACAAATCGGAGAGCGATAGGGGCCGATAAGCTTTGCCAAATAACGCCTCCCAATATCGAACTGCGATACGGACCGATAGGTTTTTTTTTTATGCATTTTTGTTTTTTGTGCACGTGCGAAACTCAACGCGAATAAATGCGTCGCGCCTGAGTCGAGGCGAGCGGACCGGAGGACAGAGGACAGGGACAGCGGATAGCAGGCGGCCATGGATCAATTCTCGCACGACCTGACGTTGGCTCTGGACCTGACGCTGATGGACAGGGCGAGTGGCGTCGGTAGGTGGGGCTCCCGTCGCAGGACACGTTCCACGGGCAATCTGCGTAAGTAGTGCGATTGTAGCCGACCCCTGCCGCGAGGTAACCCCCCGTCTGCTTAGCCTGCGCCCCCCAGCCCACGGAAGACTCTTCAAGCAGTCCCACGGACGCGCTGAACCAGGGTCACCACCACGGTCATCATGGACACCATCACCACCACCACCAACACAACAACCCAAGTGCCAACGTGGACGGATTGGACACGCACAACATGAATTTGCCTGCCAGCGACTCAGACGAGAAGGCGGAGGCGATGCTGCCTCTGCGTCTGCCACTGGCCTTGCCCGGACGCATGGGCGCCCTGGAGTCGGACTCGCTTAACGAGACCACTTTTAGTCCAGCCAGGTGAGATTGCCCGTCCTTTCCGCGCGAGAGTCCGCCCCTAAACCTTCTGCCCAACCCACAGATTCTACAAGCCGAACTCGCGAAGGAAGCGCAAGATCAAGCGCATGTCCATGGAGTTCGAGTTCAGCAAGGACACGCCGCACACATTCACTGAGTCGCCGCTGCAGCCCGGCCTGCTGAGTGGCAGCGGCACCGCCACCGGAACCATACGCAAGCGATTGCTCAAGGCGGACCCCACTGGACACCGTTCACATTTGTTCTTCTGCGGCAAACGCAAGCGCTCCAACCGCGATCGCTACCACGAGCAGGATTCGGTCAAGCTGTACGCCTCGCCGCACTCGCATCTGGACGAGCCGCACCTGCAGCAGCAGCACCATCACCAGCAGAGGATGCGCCCGCGCAGCTACTCCTCCACATCGAAGCCACTCAGCGACCGCCTGCTGCCGCTAAACAAGGGGCTGCTCTCAAAGATCAACCGCATGGCGGCCCAGGGACAGCAGGCCACGCCCACCCAAAAGACTGAGAACAAGGACATGGACTTGAAAACCCACCAGCCAGGGGGGACAGGTGGAGCGGGCCAGGAGATGGAGGAGCTGCCCGATCAGACGAATGTGGCCAAAAAACTGCCCCCACCAAGTGGCGAGGCCACTTCCACCAACCTGAACTCTTTCAGGATGGACACCATAGTGCCTGTGACGGATATTGATGCCTTGCTGCTGAGCACGCTACCAGCTGCTCCGCCGATGCGCAAGAAGACCCACGGACAGGTGCCCGTACATAGCAGCTCCTCCAAGGCGCACCGCCGTCGCCGCTTCCAAACGCTTCCACAGCCGCCACTGCAGTTCCAAGCTCAGTCCATGGACTGCAGCGAACTCTACGACTTCCTGAGCTCCAGTTCCCTGAGCTCCTCCTCAGACAGCGAGGCGGAGGTCGGTGGCCATCGCCGGCACGACACCGACCGCGAGGGCGACGACGAACTCACCGACTGGCCGGGGAACGAATTCGGACCCGGTGCCAGGTACGATCCGAAGAGGAAGCTCACCAAGAAGTCACTACTGCCTCAAATTCGCTCAGATGATACAATTGGCGAAGACGACACTCTAATGTCCGGGACCGAGGCGGGAGCGGTGGGAATGGAACCGACACCGAAGTCTCCAGCCCAGCTGCCAGAATCTTTGCAGGATCTATCCCGCTTCCAACCGACCAGTGTCTCCGAACCCATCGAGATTTTGAATGCCGGTTCGGAGATGGAAACGAACGCAGATGGTACCATGCCCGCTTCCCGTCAAATCGAGAGCGAGATGTCGGGCGAAACTTCGAATCCCTTCCTTTCCTCATCGCCGCCAGGCCAGGCTCACGGGCAGGAGGTGCGCGAAATCCGTGCCGGCTGTCGCCGCATCAACGGGGAGCGACCGGGATTCAGCATCAAGATGAGCGTTAACGAGCGCATCGCCCGATTTCTGCAGGATCCGCAACAGACGCAGATCCGGCTGGCAGCCGACATCGAGCTCCATGAGCCCGACAGCATATGCAACCTGGCCACGCTCTACTCGTTGACCATGGCGGTGGAGCACGGTTGCACGGTGCTCACCAAAACCAGGTGAGGATGAATGGGAATGGGGTGTTCCCAAATGCGGTAGATTTCTAACAAACTTCACTCTTCTAGGAACACCACACAGACGGTGAGCGTCGATCACCTGCAGCAGGGTCTTCAGCCGCGTCCCGATCTATTCGGCGATTTCAAGCGGCGCTGCTACGGGGAGAAGGAGCAGCTCGATCCTGGCCAGACTCAGACCGAGAAATGAGATAGCGATATATTAATCAAAACGAGACCAATCCCCAGCAAATGCAGTCGCAGAGCCATCGTCATGCGGAGTAAAACTCCTGGCGATCTGGACACTGCATCGCTGGGGTGGAACAAGCCCGTAATTTAAGAATGCTTTTAGCGTGTTTTTGTGAAATCTGTTCCGTGTACATAATGTTGCATCGGTCCGTGTATATACTAACTGAGTTCATTTGGGGCGGGCGCCAGCGATTCGGATACCGGATCCCAGATCCCGTCGGTCCGCCCGCCCACACACTTGAAAGCGAGCGAGGTGACACGTTTCAAAGAAAGAGACAGCGAGGAAGAGAGTGGACCGACCAGAAAACGTTGGCAGCCGTTTCACTGTACAAAATACATATTGTAAGACCTCCAGCGAATATGAATGTAAGAAATAAATATGTGTGGTCATATCCGAAGCGATGAACTTTTGATTTTGATATAGAATATGCTGGATATTTAGTTGATAGTTTGGATGTCAGTACTCAGTACTTGGTTATAATGACTTTCTAATTGGACACGAAAGTTAATATACAAAAAATATATATAATAAAATATAAAGATATAATAAATAATACATACATAAATTTAAAAATAAAGGTTTTGAAGCATTATTTTTGAATATACCTGCACATGTTTAAAATATATCGGTTGATTTGGCGTTGAATGGATAAAACTGGAAAACTAGCTACCGACCAATGGCGGGCAATTTGAATGAGCTGCTGGCCGGGAAATCGGACGAACTACCCAACCCCTCGGAAAAGTTGGCGCATGCTCGGTGCTCGGCACTTGGCACTTGGCGCTCACTTGGCAACCCTCGCTGATGGATGGGGTCGGAAAACGAGGGGCGAGTGGCGAGTGGGCGGAGTGGGGCAGACGAGCGCCGAGCTTGCGTCAAATGCGGACGCCAGTTGGACGCAGCTCGGGATTGGAGGCAGCCACGTTTCCCAGCCATCCGCCGTGTGTGTCGCAGCGACTGTGTGTGTGCTGTTTGTGCCGTTCCGTGCCGCATCTGTGGCGTTTCGCGAACGGGATGTGATTGGGATCCTCGCCAGCGTTCATCCTCTCATTGCCCATAACCGGATTCAGCTGCTCCAGTGTGTCCAGGAGCTTGAACTCCGCTCCAAAACGCTCCGTTCCTGATCGAAAGTCCTTCTTTGACAACCGGCTACGCTTGTGTTTTCCACGCCTGCACCTCTAACGGTAATTCGGGAGAGCGGTTTCGAGGAGGGCATCTGGATCTCCTGGTTGTGGCTCTGATTCCCGGTGCCTGACCAGAAGGTCCTGCTGCACTGAATCCTGCAGGGGACATGGCCAAGGCGAGGGATTTCCGTGATTTCCGCGATGCGATGCGGCTGCTCTGCTTATTGATTTTTCACCAACACTCACGCACACAAACGCCCGCACACTGGCACCCACACACTAGCACCCACACACACACAACAGCAGTGCTGGCAGTTAGGCCATTTTGGGGCTGGATTTTCCAGCCATTTTGAAGGCGGAAGTGCAACAACAGCCATTTTTGTCGAGTGTCGAGTGCTTTTTGTTTAATTGCAATACTAGCGAATTTAAAACTTTTCCTAGTTCTGTGGAATATTTGTTATTTAATACGGGCCTTTTTGTGCTATAAGGCGTGAATTTACCTTGTTATTATTGAAGTAGGTTTACCAAGAACTTTGGCAAGTGTATATACAAAACTTGATTCCGTTATAAACAAATTTCCCTCTGGAATCGTGGCAACACTGCCGGAGAAAGAGAGGGGAAAAAAGAGAGAGTGTGGCTTTGCTGGCTTGTAACGTCCGAAAGCCATACACATACACAGGCAGATAGCTGAGCTAATCTCTTATCAAGGGACGACTATCCCTCCCCCTCCCCTCTAAACTATCTCTCTATCCGTTGCACTTACATGGGAAAAAAACACAATATAAGTTATAGATTTTGAAATTTTCTCAAATCTCAAACGCAAAACCAAGAAAATAAATAGAATTCAGTTAGTCTAGGGCACAAAAGTTTGTTTTTATCACTCTGTGGTTCTTAAATATGCTTGGTTTCTTCATAAACTTTGGTTTTACCAAGCAATCTAATTTGGAAAGAATAGAAAATTGTACGAACCTACTTTGTATTTCTAATATTACAATTTAATAACATTTTTCAATGAACAGATTTTCACTTTATCTTTAAACTAACATTTGGGTTTGTTTTTTCTGTCCGTGCAGGAGCGCTGCCATGGGGCAGGCGATGTGTGCGTTCCGCGTGAG